GTTTGTAGGGATTCACGTTTGGCATATGTAAAGCGTTTGTCCACATTCTTCTGGACCCCATATTAATTACAAAAGAGGGTCATAGTGCAGATTCGGATTTTCCTGTACCCAAACATCACGCTGGCCAAATACATCTCCTTGAGGCGAGCCCAAAGCCTGCTCCTTAGCCCCTGGTTGAGTCCTACACCCCTGAACCCTGAATCCCCAAACCCTCAACCCTGAACCCTAAACCCCAAACCCTGAACCCTGAATCTCTGAAAAGCATTCTCTGAACGCGAAAGTGCACTAGCAAACCTAACCAAATGTAGAGGTAGCGGTCACCACCCCTTACGAGCCTTACAAAACTTGCAAATAAATATGATTTAAACATAAACACCACCACACCCTATAATCACTAAGGGCCCCTTTGGAAACTTTCGTCTGAACTCAGACTCTCCCTAGCCTTCAACAACTGAGACTGCCAAACACCAAACTCTTAACGTCCCCAAGCCCAAACCCTACCATGCACGTCTACATCTTCCACTCGCAACACTCTGCTCCTAAACACCGAGAACCGGGGGGGAAATTACCATAGAATCCGAGCCGATAGCATCCTCATTATATAGGAAGCCCTGAGCCCGACCACACCTTGAAAGGGAAGCCCCCCCCCCCCCCCCGCCCCCTCCAAAAAAGCGAACCCCCTAAGTTCAGAAGCTCAGCCGAGGCTCGCCCGCGGTGCGGCCGCTGCTTGCAGGGGAAGTTCTGGAGGTCCCTTCATAAGCTCTTGTCTCGGGTTGGGCTATACAGTAGGGTCTATATGGTTTAAGGCATTCATAAGGTGTTGTCTAAGGTTAAGCGTTATATAGAGGAAGTACGGGCAAGCTGCTGGAAAGACAAGCGGCAAAAATGGTAAGGACTGCACGTCAGCAAGGGTTTACTCTGGTGCCGCAGGCGGCGCTCACAGTGGTGCGGTCACGAATGAGTGGAAGGCCTCCACAAGATAACCCTAAACCCTAAAGCCTATTCATCTCGTGTCTCCTGCGCCGGCTTGGCTACTTAAGCCTGCAGTCCCCAAGCCGCTTACTGGGTTCTTGTTAAGGAACTTAATTTAAGTTACCATAATAAGGAAACTCTATTATTTACGATAGATCCCTATTATGGCAACTTAAATTAAGTTCCTTAACAAGAACCCAGCTTAACCAATAATCCTGAAGCCTACACTCCGTAGCCTTGAACATTCAACGAAACGAAGCTCAGAACATGGGGTTTATGTCAACCAGACCCTAAATGATTACCCATAGGCCGCATAGTAGTTCCTTTTTAGGACTACCTTATAGAGTTCTATATATGAATCACAAAAAGGAACTACTTTGGGGCCTATGGGTAGTGGTATCCTCAGTACAAGCAGCCCTACAAAGCCGCGTACAACAGCTCAGTAGTGGAGCATGAACTTCTTCGAGTCCATGTAGAAACCCTTTCTATCGAAGTAGCGCAGGAGTCCTTCGTACGGTTGATGATATAAATCCTGCATTACCCTAATAATAAGGAATATACCATAATTCCCATGGTTTAGGGTCTTTAAGGTAATGCAGGATTTCTATCATCAACCGTAGAACTCCCTAAACCCTAAACCCTAAGCCCTAAGCCCTAAACCCTAAACCCTAAGCCCTAAGCCCTAAACCCTAAACCCTAAACCCTAAGCCCTAAACCCTAAACCCTATAAAGCCCTCGTCGGACTTGACCTCGCAGGTGCTGGAGCCGGCGAAGGAAGAGCCCCAAGAGCCCGATCGGGTGGTCCAGTTGAGGCTGGGCATGCGGCTTCCGAGTAGTAGAGTAGGTAATCTTTAACCTTTTTGGGGGCTTTCTGGGGTTGTCCTTTTTTGAAATCCTTTTTCAATTTCGGCTACTATATTGTAGAGAACCATGATAGTACATAATTTTCAAAGGGCTTACAGGACAACTCAGCTTTGAGAAGCAACAGCTACAGCTACACCTGCAACCACAGCATCAGCAGCAGTAACAACGACGACAACAGCAAGAGCAACTACTGCTACTGCTACTGCTACAGCTACTGCTACTGCTACCGCTACTGCTACTGCTACTGCTACTTCTACTCTGCTGCTGCTGCTGCTGCTGCTACTACTTCCGCTGCCGCTACTGCTACTGCTACTGCTGCTGCTGCTCCTACTGCTGCTGCTGCTAGCACTGCTGCTGCTGCTGCTCCTACTGCTGCTGCTACTACTACTGCTCCAGCTCCTACTACTACTGCTGCTACTGCTACTGCTACTGCTACTGCTACTGCTACTGCTACTGCTACTGCTACTACTACTACTACTACTACTACTACTACTACCACTACTACCACTACTACTACTACTACTACTACTACTACTACTACTACTACTACTACTACTACTCTACTTCTACTTTCACTTCTACTTCTACTTCTACTTCTACTTCTACTTCTACTTCTACTTCTACTTCTACTTCTACTTCTACTTCTACTTCTACTACTACTTCTACTACTACTTCTACTTCTACTACTACTACGACTACTGTTACTACTACCACTACTACTGCTGCTCCTAGTACTCCTAGTACACCTACAACTCCTACAACTCCTACCACTCCTACGAGTCCTACTACCCCACAGCTCCTGCTACTACTGCCACTATGTACGTCGTCTTGCTGTTTGATCATCACCCAGACCCCCGGGAGGATCTAGAAAGTAGATCCCCTAATTTGGGGCCCTATACTACTAAGGGTACTTTACAGGAACCCCCATTAAGGGATCTACTTTTTGGATCCTCTCGGGGGTCTGGGCACCTGTGTTTGCTGACCTGTGTTTGCTCCAGTTAAACCTCTCGGATGCTTGAGAGGTCAAGTCCTGGAACACAAGAACTTGCCGGGACTTGCCCTGCTTGACCCTAAACCCTACACCCTAAACCGTAAACCCTAAACCCTACACCCTAAACCCTAAACCCTACACCCTAAACCCTAAACCCTACACCCTAAACCGTAACCCCTAAACCCTAAACCATACACCCTAAACCATACACCCTAAACCCTACACCCTAAACCGTAAACCCTAAGCCCTAAGCACAGAGCCTTGGAGCCTATCCCTCGGCCCTGGTCCTGGAAAACAACATTGCTCAAAGATGAGGCATCGACACTTCCAGCATGTCAGTCTACTCAAGTTGCATCAAGACGAGCAGCTGTCCCAAGTCTGCAACTCCACACCTTTGGCAAGTGTCCTAAGTTGCATCGGGCCATCCTCACACTTTCACACTGGAACAACGTTTCGGCTCACCAGCAAGAGAAAAAACTGGCAGAGTGAAAGTACGGCCCCGATTCCAAAACTTCCAGGGAGAAGCGCCCCTACACCTAACCCCCTCGTCGCAGGCCCCTCCAAGGTGGTTCGCCCACTTGGGTCTCCGTCGGCTCCGCGCTAAAGCAGTGTCCTAGCCCGCAAGTGGGACTTAGGGGTGGTTCGAGGTGTTTGGGCTTTTTAGGGTTTTACCTATAGTCTCCATTGTAGCTCTTTGTTTGGTTATCCAAAATCTCTTTTACAGGATCCTAACCATAAAACTGGTTAACCAAAAAAGGAACTACAATGGAGACGTATAGGTAAGATTTTGAGGCGAGTCTTTTTTGCAGTTTGGGGCAGCTTGCAGGCTTCACGGTCTTGAGGGCTTTCCGACTCCACGGTTTTAAGGGCTTGCCGGTCTAGGTCTTTAAAGACCCCAAATTTTAGGATCCCGAGGGTTACCGTCTTTCGAGAACTACGAGGGTCCGAAACGCCAAGCCCTAAACTCGAAGTCCCACATTTACACGCTGAAATGGGTTTACTACAGGACGCCCAGGTCTCGGAAGGACAGCCGCCCACAGTTCCCTCATGGAATACGGGAGCCTGCATCATACTGTACTCTTCCCCAGGCTTCCTTGCTCTAGATCTGCTACAATCTGCCTTGAAAACTCTAGTGCCCCAGTGCAAATACTAAGTGGCGGTTTTGCCTAGGACCTAGAGTAGCCTTCAAGCCAATAAAAGGGCACGCTGTTTATTCCTAGCTCAGTCTTGGGTTTAGTTGCGGATGTTGAGAAGTCTGCGCAGTTTCCTGTGCTTCAGGTGGTCTCGACAATATCGGGCAGCTAGGGCTTTCCTGCTGCGCGCTGGGCAGGACCGGGCAATGACCCTAAGGGCGGCGACCTCAACCCCCCACCACGCAACCCCTGAATCCTGAATGCTGTACCCCCTCACCCATCAACCTCAAACTCCGAGCAAAATCTCTATGCTGGCAGGATGAAGCCAGCGACAGCCTCCGACAGGTGCTAGTTGCCGGTATGCTTCGGAGAAGATTTCGATGAGAGGAGCCAGAGTCTTTTCAGGTTTGGGGTTTAGAATTCGGGCAATTAGGGTTTAGGGCTTAGGGTTTGGGCTGGGTTTAATTAGGATTTCATGCAGGGGTTCAGGGCTCAGGGTTTGCGGTTTGAGTTTAGGATTCGGCATTTTAGGGTTGAGGGCTTAGGGTTTGGCATTCAGGCATTTGGGGTTTTCCGGTTGCGGCTGGAGGCTTTTCGGGTTTGGCACTAAGCCCTAGAGCCACCCTCCGCCCTTGAACCCTAAACCCGAAGGCCTTAAGGCTTTAAATCAGCCCTGCAGCAAAAAGCTCGATACCCGAAACCCTAAAGCCATGAAAATCCACAGAGCCCAAAACCCAAAGCCTGAAGTCTCGAATCCCAGCCCCTCGCCCTCCCACCATTGTCTCACTAAGCCCCAACCCCAGGCCCCAAATCCGCTTTCCGGCCTAAGCCCTAAACCCTAAACCCTAAGCCCTAAGCCCTAAGCCTTTAACCCTAAACCCTAAGTCCTAAACCCTAAACCCTAAACCAGAAACCCTAAGCCCCAAGCCCTAAACCGAAAGCAGCCCTGGGCGACAGGTGACCAAAGGAGAAGCTCTGGAGGCGCGAAGCTTCTTGAGAAACGGCTTCCGTGCTGTGGGGGAGACGGAAGTCCAGGGCTTCCTTTAAAGGAACTTTAAAGGTTAGCGTTTAGGGGTTTAGGGCTTAGGGGTTTAGGGCTTAGGGTTTTTAGGTTTTTAGGGTTTAGGGCTTAGGTTTTTAGGGTTTAGGGCTTAGGGGTTTAGGGTTTAGGGTTTGGGGCTTAGGGTTTTTAGGGTTTTTAGGTTTTTAGGGTTTAGGGTCTAGGCGGTCGAGGGGTTAGGGCTTAGGGTTTAGGGGTTATTTAGGGTTTAGGGTTTATGGGTTTAGGGTGTAGGGTTTACGTTCAGAGATTTCGGGTTATGAGGGTTACTATATGAGGGGATCTAGAGGAGTTTGGGGCAGTTTAGGCTGTTTAGGCTTTTTCAGGGTTATGATGTGTTATTAATAAGGGATTTAGCAGACTTCAGTAGAAAGCTTAGGCTTCCTGGACTTTAGGGAGGGGTATTCAGGGCTTGGGGCGACGCATCTGAGGAGCCGAGCCCGGTCTCACATGGTTTCATGGGTAGTTGGCTCTTGCTGGGCCTGAGGTTTCTTAGTTGAGAATACTATGCAGTTCTTATATAGTAAGTACCTATACTAGTTTGTCGGTTTCCTTATTACTGATACTTCAAGGCATCATGCCTCAAAAAACAAAGAAAACGTTCCTAGACCCTCCTTCTATCCATTCTGCCCTCTGTTAGACCGTAAATACCCACCTTTTTTGGGACCATATTACCCCCATTTGAGGGTACCAGGATTCTCCTGTTTCAGCTCGTTTCCATGGTCGTGTTCATGGTATTCTATTCTCAGGACGTGCGTCAATGGATCCCACAGTACTCCACTTCACCTGGAAATACGGGCTTGAGGCAAAAAGGGTTTAAGGTGAAAGGTTGGGGATTTTTTATTCCGAAAGAAACCGGTTCGAGCTTTCGTCCTACCCACACGTAGACCCTAAACCCTGGGACCCAAGGCCCTTCAACTGTAACCCAGATCCGAAAGTCTCACACCCCTAAATCCTAAACCCTAAAGCCCTGGAGTCCTCAAGGAGGCTTAAGATCCCAAAAGCCCTAGAAACCGTAGGGTTCAAGATTTAGGGTCTCCTCGTGCAAATTCGGTGCTTCGCAAGCCCCGAAGTTCATAACACCCGACAAAGAAAAGGTCGACAACCCTAAGCCCGATTCCTTAGGTGAAGAGGTTAGCGCTGAGGGTCCAAAGGACCCAACAATTAGGTACTTAGGTTTATGATAGTAATTATGTAGGTTACTATATGGGAGAGTATACGATAATTAGGTACTTGGACCCTTAGGATTCCTAATATAGAAACCCTACATTCTACTATATCGGTACTTTGGACCCTTTGGGGTTAGGAGTGTCGCTGAAATCCTCCAGGCAACTGGCCTTCCGAGCGGCGCAGCTGGGGGGCAGCGCCTGAGGCTTCGTGCCAAAAAGGCCACTGCTGTTCCCCTAAACCCTAAACCCTAAACCCCTAAACCCTAAACCCTGAACCTCAAACCCTAAATCTCAAACCCTAAACCCTAAACAGAAAAACACCCTAAACCCCTAACCTAAACCCTAAAATAATTCACCCCAAACCCCTAAATCCTAGACCCTAGGAAAAACACCCTAATCCCTAAGCCCCTCAACCCTAAACCCTAAGCCCCCAATAAACCCCTAAACCCCTAAACCTTAAACCGGGCTTGGCGTCATAGCCTCCGTGGGTTCCATGCTCAGGATTTCGGAGTTTAGGGAGTAGCTCTGGCCGCCTAGAGTCGGGCATTGCTTGTTTGGGGTTCGTATTACAATGTTCGGCTTGCTACCTGCATAGTTTTTGTTTAAACATGTTTCCGTTCTGCAAAACCGAGTTCCGTGATCCTCAATCCCTGCTAGTTGCGGCTTTTAAGAGTGATTACAACCCTAAACCCTACAATCTGCGGAAGGACAACTTGGTTGGCTGGGCTTCACTCCTCAGCAAGGAGGGCGAGAAGCTGCTGATACCGATCTGACCGTAGAGTTGAGAGAGCCTGTAAACCCTAGACCAACGATCCCCTTAATCTCTAAGTCTAAGTATTATAGAAGTCGGAAATTTGAGTGATGAGCCCCAATCTTCCCGAAGTTCTGAGTATTATAGAAGCCGGAATGTTTAGCATCGAGTCCTCATTGATCTTCCCGGGTTCTTGAATATACCTTTTAATATACCCCAAGCCCCCGACCTTCATCAAAGTCCCGGTTCATGCGCAGAAATATCTGCAACTATGGTTGAGGGCTTGCTTTTTTTGATTGATGAACAGTAGAGAGTTTTGGTTCTAGGGGGAATTTCATTTCGGGGTCTTCAGCAGGCTCCTGCTAACTTCAGCTCCTTTTTTTTGAAACTTTTGTGGGTGCTCTGAAAAACCATAAAAATGTTCATACAGGCCTAAGCCGTGTGGCTCAGACTAAGCCGTAGCCCGGGGGCCATGACTGTGACACTAAATCAGGGGCCTGGCCGACGAGAACAGAGTTTTGCGGCATATGATGGTGCAGCTCTATTGGGATTATACCTGGAGGGTCATACCCTACCTTTTGTTTCTAGGGTACCTCATTTTATGGTTAGGATCTCCTATATAGAAAAAGCAGGTACCTTAAAAAAGGGCTAGGGTAGGAGCCTATAGTTAAGTGGATGTTAGAGCTATAGGCCCTGTGGGCTACAGGCCTCCAGTTTGGATTACGAGGGTTTGGGTTCCAGGGTCTTTCGGTGTAGTCTTAAACCTTTAATCTTGCAACGATGCTATGCCACATGAACCTGCAGAGAACGCTCGTAGACCTCATATATCCACCCTTGCAAGATCTTGGGTATCAGGATTTCGGGGTGTTTGAGGGTATTTTTACAAAAGCTGGCTTCAACAAGGTCAGCATATCGCCAACCCAGAGACGTCAATATCGACTGTAAGGATACTTCTTGTTTGATCCCCAGAAGGAACTAAAAAATATGTTTGGGCTTCTGGGGCTGCGGGTGTCTGCGACTTCGCCAGGATTCTGCGCAGAATGACATAGTGCTTGATTGATAGAATGTATAGTACCCCTAAACCCGGTTAAACCCTAAATAGGGTTGGTGGCTGAGATGAACCGGATGTCTGGGCCCTCGCATTTGGCTTCGGGTTCCCCTAAATCGTACTTGAAGGCTCATGGGACTTAGTAAGCAAGGTTCTAAGTTGGTTATAATTAGGATAGCCCCACATAGGGGACTTATAACCCCAATTATGACCTACTTACTAACTCCCATGATCCTCTAAGTAAGCTTGAGCCAAGGCCAATTGCTACGATCGGACATCTCGCTTTTTAACTACGCTACTATAGTCGACTTTCAGGGACAATGGGCTAAGACATACTTTGGATCAGTAGTAGTGTCCCCTTCTCCAGACTCCAGGCTGGCCCCCGGAACTAAGCCTTGTTATAGAACCCTTATTCATCTCTTGTAGTCTTGTAGAGCCCGTATTGATACTTTATGAAGATCTCTTATAGTATTGATCCTTTATGAAGATCTCTTATAGAGGCCGTAACGGAACGTGCAGGGCTAGCTCGCTTTGGGCAGTTTGGCCTGCACACGGGAAGCCATTCGACTCCTCGTCCCTGCACGTCCTTCAGCCGGCGTTGGAGAGTTTAAAAGTTTGCAGGAGGGTTACAAGAGGGCAACGACAGAGGGCTTGTGACTGGTAGGGTATTAGGATCTAGGGCTTGAGATTTAAAGCTTCAGGGGCAAGGGGCCGGAGGGTTTAGGTATGATGTCATTTCGCTTTGGCTGCTTCATTGCTTTGCTGTTGTTGTCGGCATTTCTAGTCTCAGGGTCTCATTGAATAGATCCGATTTCCCAAGAATCGCGGCCCTGAGCCAGGTCGCCGCGGTGATTGCTTTTGTCTTGCTTCTGCAGACGTGGGAGTTTCTGAAAACAGGGGACCCTAATATGGTACCCTGAATAGTAGGATCCTGTTTATAAGGATCCCAAAATACGGTACCCCTAATTTCGGAAACTCCCACGTTGGGACCGCGAGCCCTTTGGACATGATCCCCCCAAACCCCAAACCCTCAGACCCCAAACCCTTACAGCCTTACCCCAACCAGGACCCCCCAAGGGCCCTTTAGTAGAGTCCTTTTGGCCCTTAATTGTGGGTAGTTGGGGTATGTTAGAGGGTAGTTGGGGGGCCTAGGAAATCCCAAAACCCTATCCAAACCCTCAAAAGCCCGAAAAACCCAGCACAGAAGCCTGACCCCCCTTCGCAGGGACCTGGCGCGTCGGTCGTCATTGGTTCCGCAGTGTCCGCTGAGCATGAGGCGCAGTTTGGGGGGGTTTCAAGGAACTACTGTACGATCAGGATTCTGGTAGTGAAGGGCTAACCCTAAGGCTCAAAGTGGCCCAGAAGCCTTATATAATATGGTCTTCAGGCCCAAAGCCTTAAAGTATGAGTCCTTAGAGCCTTAGGGTAAGGGTTTGGTTTATGTTTAGGACTCTGTATCAACTAGAATTTGGGGTTTAAGGGCACTTAGCAGTTTAAATGGCTACTGAAAACGAAATTCGGTTGTAAAGGCCTCTGCGGTTTGGCGATTAATTTATCAAAGGGGAAGAGGAGGGACCCTTAATGGGGACCCCTACCCTATAATGGGCTATATAATGGGTATATAATAGCTATATTAAGGGTATATACCTAGGGGTCCTTATTAAGGGTCCCTCCTTTTACGCTTGGAATTAAGGCTGTTGGGGCTTCAGGGTTGCGTGGTTTAGCGCTTTGGGATTTAATTGCCTGTTGCTGTAGGGTTTATGAACTTTGAGGTTGCGAGTCGAGTGTGATCGCGCCAGTTCAAGCGTTCCAAACCCTTCACTCAAGAAGCTGGGAAAGCGCTGCGTAAGCTAAATATGCCAGACCTTAAAGCGAATTTAGGACCGTTGAAGACTTCCCAAGTATTCCGACATGTCTGGCTTAGAGTTTCCCTCGCGTCGATATCAGATTTTAGAATCCCTTACGGTCTGACAAGAATGCCATACTGCATCCCGAATTCCGGCTCGAATCGTGATGGCCCCGACATCAGAGCAGGTCGCCTGTGATGTCCTGGGGTTCCTAAACCCTAAACCGGATTCATGTCAGCCTACAATGATCAGTTATTTGGGAGTTTCCGAAAATAGGGGACCCAATATAGTACCCTGAATAGTAGGATCCTTATCATAAGGACCTCCAAATTTGGTACCCCTGATTTTCGGAAACTCCCATTTTGCTCGCAGACTGAACAACTATTCGATCCTATGGCACATGAGAGTTTCCGAAATAGGGGACCCTAATATAGTATCCCAAATACTATGACCCTTATTATAAGGGCCCCCACAAAAGGTACCGCTGGTTTTCGAAAATGCCCATATGCCTGCGGAAACTTACGCCAGGATCGCATCGAGCGACCCCCTGCAGATGGAGGCATGATCTACCACGGCCACATACGTTCAGGTCCTACCTGTAGTCTCCATTGTAGTTCCTTTTCGGGGTTACCTTTTAGGATCCCTGAAACAAATTTGGTTAAAACCAGAAAAAGGAATTACAATGGACACTATAGGTACCATGGCTCGTATATTGACCCAAACATGGGGGGTCGGATTCTGAAAATCGGGGGGGGTGGTACCTCGTTTATAGCTCTTGTTTTCTAAGGCTCCGCCTTGGCAGGGTTGCATATTGGGTCCCATATTGTCTGAAATTCCCCTGTAACTGATCTGTGTCATTATTTGAGACGTCCTTCCAGCAGTGTTGTACAGCATACCCCAACACCCCACTAGAAACTGAAATGGCGATGGCCCTCGGGCTACTAAGGATTCGGGCTTCGACCTCGTAAGGATCATGTCCCGGAGTCGGGTATTCAGGTTAGGGTGAACGGCCTCAAGTTTGGGGTGGTGCTATCCTGAAGCTGAACCTGAAGCTGCAGCCAAAAAAACTCTGAACTCCAAATCCTAAAGCCTCTAAGCCCTAAACCCTTAAACCACCCTAAACCCAAACCCTTAACAGACTAAGGTTACTTGTTACCTCTACATGAGCCTGGGTTTCGAGTTTCGGTGCCTTCGGCTCTGCGTTGCGCGGCTGCCTTTTGTGGCAGCCTTAGGCTTCGGTGCTGGTGGAGGTGGACTCGTAAGCCGAAATATAAGGGGCCTTAAGAACTACCTATACTGCTGTGGCGGTTCCTTATTGTAATTACAGTATAATGTACCCCCAAAACCCTATTCTAATTTATAAGGCCCCGACGATGAACCATGGCTTGATAGGCCCGTGAGTTGGAGCTATGCTCGACTCAAGCCGCTGCCGCCTCGAAAGAAGTACGAGAGCATGGTTCTTTCTGTCGAGTTCGCATGAACCGGAAGGGGACGAAGCCAAGGACCTGGCCAAAGATTTGGTTTGTAGCGGCTCCGACAACCAACGTCCTAAACTCTAGAGTCTAGAGGGTGGAAGGCTTAGGGCTTAGGGTGCAGTTTGGGGTTTTGGAAGGGTTGTTCTGGGGTTTGGGTTTGAGCTGAGAGGTTGTGGGGTTGAGGGGTACGGTGCTTGAGGGCATTAGGGCAGCCTGGATCCATCTGGCTGTGCTAGATCCTCAAACCTTAGGGTGAACTCCTTCCAAAGCCCGAACGCCATGAACTCTGAATACTCTGTTCCGAATCCTGGTATCACCCTCATAGAACGACATCTTATGTTATCTTAATTGAGCCAAACATGTTCGTATAAGAGCAGTTGATACGACCCTAATGTAGGAACCCTGGGCCTATAACCCCAAAAATAGTAGGATTCAAGGGCCCAAGGTTTCTTAACCAGCTTCCTACATTATAGTAACCTTATAGATCCCTTATAGTAACTTGTCATAGTTGGGTAACATTTTACATTTTTATGGGTACTTAAACCAATAAGGAATAAAAGCGTACATTTCTCACCCTATCCCAACAATGAACTAGGTTATAGACCCCTTATATAGTAACCCTTATAGACCCCTTTAAAGGAACCCCAGGGTTTCTTAATAGGTTCTTACATTACAGGGAAGTTGGTTTTGGGAGTCCATGAACAGGTGCCCGGCCGGAAGCCGGAGTCTGGATCTCAAAACGGGCATGCTTTCGGCTTGAAGGCGTCTAGGAATTCGTCTAAGATTCAAGACCTTTCAGGCGGTTTTAGGGGTTTACTGTAGGGTTCGGAACTCAAGAGCTTTCGTCACTTTAGGCGTTTGTTGGGATGCCTTTTAGTGTCAGTTGTGGTTCAGGGTTTTTAGGTTCTGTGTTTCGGGAGGTGGCGCCCAGTTGCTGAACTAAACACAGTGGGTTCCAGCGCTTGCGTCGTTTCTTGGTTTAGTGCTCGTCGTCGTCTTGGTGGAACTAGCGGAGTAGAAGGTGGATAAGCTAGTTTGTCCTAGACGGTGTCTCCGCGGGACTCCAGACCAGGTGAGCAATATATAGTCGCGGAAGCCGAAACCGTTGCATGATCTGCAAATCCCAAGTTGTGACTGCAGAGCTCGTTGTCCACATGTCCTCCGCATCATGCAGTTTGGCATTAGCGATTACGATGCATTGTCGACGGGTCTGCTGATGGTGCTGTGAAGCGGAGTTCCATGCCAAGGATCTTGTTGTTGTAAGCCAGGTACTTGGGCCCAAAACCCTAAAACCCTGAACTCCACCAACCCACATAGCCTCGAAGCAATAACTTCGGGTGGTTCTTGGTGGGGCATTGGTGAGTTTACGTCCTCGGTCTTGCTATGGGACTACTGGCGATAGTAGGCCATAAATACCGTTGAGACCGCCTGGTCCTAACCAGCCAGAAAACCTTAAGCCCTCCCTTAACCACATGGCATATGGGAGTTTCCGAAAACTATGGATACCTTTTTTGGGCGTCCCTGTAATAGGGATCCTACTATCTAGGGTAGTATACTAGGGTCCCCTATTTTCGGAAACTCCCATATAAAACCGCTGGGTCCTTTAGAGCCCAACCAAGGCCGTCTCCGACAGCGTTCGAAGCAGCCGCTCAGCAGACAGTCGTGCCGCAATGGCTGCACTGCAGAGGGTTCCTGCTGGAGGATTTTATGAGACCCTAAGCGACTAGACTTTTGTGGAACTGTTGTGTTTAGCATACACTGTGCGATACTAGCCTTTCGCAACCTTGCATTGCAACAGCCCTTGGAAACGCGTCTCTGCAGTCCTCACAAAGCGCTCGTCTGAGATGCTGTTATATACCTTCGTCCCATGACCCCATGAAACCTGTGTTTATCATAGCCAGAGTTTGGCAAGCACTGCCCGGCATCCAGAATTCAGCTCCAAAAAGATGTATCCTGCCAACGCCCAAAGCGATCGAACCTTTGGGGGGACTAGGGCAGATGTCGGTTGAAATCCCACACCATCACCATGACCACAAAGACTGATCGCCATGAAGTAATGGTAATATTGGGAACCAGCTATTGATAACCATCGGTATCAGCAATTTCAAAGCAGCCGGGAAATACCAACTGTGGCATATCCATCCTTTTCAGTCTCCTCCTCCTCCTCCTGCTCTTCCTCTGCCTCCTCCTCCTCCTTTTAGGGTTTAGGGTTCAGGATTTAGGGTTTAGGGCTACTTCTCCTCCTCTCCTTCCTTGCTCTCAGTATCACCCTCCTGAACCCTAGGCATGAAGTAGTCCTGTGTGTTCGGGACAAGACACGAGCCCTATCAAGACCGATACCTGTAGTAGTAGCAGTAGTAGCAGCAGCAGCTGGAGTAGTAGTAGCAGTAGTAGCAGTAGTAGCAGTAGTAGCAGTAGTAGCAGTAGTAGCAGTAGTAGTAGTAGTAGTAGTAGTGGTAGTAATGCAAACACCAATGTTTCTGAAAGGCAACTTTCTCCTCCACAAAATCAGAACAAGAAACTGACGACAGAACGAACATCCACCACCCACCCTCCCGGATGTCACTGTTGCCCTAAACCCTACTCTTGAGGTTGATGGCCCACCGCCATGCATCCGAATGTTGATTCACGGTGCCCTGGCCTCGGGCCATGGGTCGCTGAATCCTTAAACCCCTGACCGGGGCATGATGGTTTTTTGGGTTGAGATTTCAGGTGTATAGAGTATAGGGTCTTAAAGGGTCCCTGAATCCTCAAACCACTGCTGGGCTTTTAGGGTTTAGGGGTATAGAGTTTCAATCACTTAGGGGAGGTTAGGGATTAGTTTTCGAGTTTTGTTCACGGAACTCCTTGGCACGGACCACGAGCGACAGCACCGAAGGGTGAATTTCAGTTTCTTTCTGTCAGTGACACATGATCTCGAACAGCGGGCTCTGAAGATCGAATACCATGGCGGCCTAAATAACTACCAACACTATGTTGGAGTTCCTTATAATGATAATAGTATACTATACCTTACTATGATAATAGTGTAATATACCCTATTATGCTAGGAGTACAATATACATTATTATGATAATAGTATGATATACCTTATTATGACAACAGTGTAAGATACCCAAAGATAGTTCCCACACTACTCCTCAGACCAGGCAAAGGAGCTTGTCTGGCTCCACACCAGCATTGTCAGCACTGCGCTAGTCTAAAAACGGTCTAGGGTTTAGGGTCTAATACAGAGGTCGGAACTGTTTCCAACATCCTTACGAGTTCCTCAGAATGACGACAAAACAGTGGGCCCCCAAGCCCTACTCTCATCATTATACGGCCTGTATATGTATACATGTGGGTGCATGGATATGTATATATATATATGTATATGTATATATATATATATATATATATATATATACTATATATGGTCATATACATATATATATATATATATATATATATATATATATGTATCTTTCCGACAACACGCTGCTCGCCACAGCCGTGTGGGATCGATGCACTGCCTTTGGACTTCGAGGCCGAAGCTGCTTGTGATCCAGAAGATCAAAGGGGTTCTGAATATGTCTGAGCGATTTAGGTTCTGTTTTTGAGGGTGCTTACATGCTCCTAGTAGAGTTGTAGGCCAAAAATCAGGCGAAGATCTACACCCCCTACCGAAAACTTGCTCAAGACCTTGAACCCTAAGCTGTGAACCCTCCAATGAAATCCGGGAGCCAAAGCCCAATACTTTGCCTTCAGGTGGCTATCGCCATCGTTGTGGCGGCAGTTGTTTGCGCAGTCATCGGCTTCGTGCTCATGGCGGACAGCTCAGGGGCATCGAATGGTGTGTAAAGATGCGTAAAGTGTATGCACCACGTAGGTGCACAAAAGCGGATTGAAGTGTTCTGCCCCCTTTTAGTCCCCACGGATCGCAAGTTTCAGGCTCCCATGTTAAAGGGACCCCTGCTGAGGAAGCCCTACAGATTCTTGCGTAGAATCAACCTTTCACCCAAAATGGGAGTTTCCGAAAATCAGGGGTACCTTTTTTGGGGGTCCTTATAGTAAGGATCCTACTATGTAGGGTACTATATTGGGGTCCCCCATTTTCGGAAACTCCCAAATAACCCCATCGCAATTCATCATTCCCCGCATCAGTGTTGGATGGGATTCAAGCAGGGAGTACACCAGCAGGGTCCCTGAGGATATATGAATTAGAGCTTTGGTATGTGGGCATCCTCGGGTTTTCGGATTGGTTCGTTGAGCTGGAAGGGCTGTCTGTCGAAATGTAGTATATGCCATTATTATTATTATTACTATTATTATTATAACAATTATAGCTTGTTCTTAACATAGGGGCAAGAGGATATGGGAGCCAGATCCATCTGGCATCAAGGTTGTGAGGTCGCCCGGCTGCGACGGACTGTGTGGCCTGTCTCGTGTTTGGGGAATACTTGAAGGCTCATGGGACTTAGTAAGTAAGGTTATAAGTAGGTTATACTTAGGGTAACCCCAGTTAGGGGACTTATAACTCCAATTATAACCTACTTACTAAGTCCCATGATCCTCTAAGTACCGTCCGAAGGTATCTATTCCTCAAGCTTTAGAAGGTGTGTTCATGGAGGTTTGGGGCGGCTTCGGGGGTGCACATCGAATGTTCTCGGCAGATTTGCTGCTGGCTGCTAGGTTAGGGCTTTGGACTGAGGTGATCTAGTTTTCGAGCTCTTGGGGTAACAATTGTTTCTTCAAGCTGTATAATCACTGTCACCGTCTGTTCCCTCTAGGAAGCTGGAAAAAAGCGACGCATACCGCTAAGCAATCTGAACTACCCAATCTGAGTTTCAGGTCGTGCAGTCCGTCCTCAATCTGCAGGACTACCGCTGGTCTTTGCCAGGGGTTGCGGGCAGCAGCAGCAGCAGCAGCAGCAGCAGCATGTATCTTCTTGTCATTGCCAATTGCTAGCAGCAGGTCGTATCATCGTAGCTGTTGTAGAGGTGACAGTAAATGTGATCACCAATGCTCATTAAGGTACGAGTTTCACAGTGATGAGACCGGCAAGGCGGCTTTGGCATCCAGAGCAAACCCCAACACGTCAAATCTCACTCCCCAAGCCCTACATGGGAGTTCGGAAGATTTATCTGATTTTGGGGCCCTTCTAATAAGGATCCTACAATTTAGGGTACTCTATTAGGGTCCTCTAATTTTCGGAAACCCCCAAATCCTAGACCAAAAACCCCAAACGCCAAACCTTGAACCCGAACAACCTGGGGCTATGGTGCAGGAGAATTGGCCCGTCTACAAAAAGGGCGCAGAGAATGCCGCTGACTCGGAGATACATCTAAACGTTCCTGCAGCTCATGTAAGGATTACTCAAAGGAGTCAATAATTTCGGGGATTCACGCCCCGTAAAAAGTCTTGACTAGGCCGTTTTTTTAGACAAGAGAAGCCCTTGCTTAGAGTGGCTTCCTTTCAGAATTCAGAGCCTATTCTGGTGGAAAGACAGGTCCGGATCTCGGTGCTTAACGGGGTCCTATAATGGCTCTCTACGAGTTTAGTGCAAGGTTTTGTAAGGGGCTGTAAGACATGATGGCATATAAATAGAATAGGGGCTGGGGTGGCTTTCATAACCATGGCTGTACTAGTGAAGCAAGACATAGTGACATAGTAGTAGCTCTTTACAACCTGTAGTTTCGCAAAGATGGACTATGCCGTCTTGAGATGCACGAGTTAAGCAAGGATTTGGCGTCAGGGTTGTCCTTCTATGTGCTGGCCTTATAAACCATAGCCAGATCAATCGGAGAACTTTTATTCAGGGGTCTGTCTTTGAACACAAGCTGTTTCTTAGTTAAAGGCACAACTGCATTTTGCCCTTGAGTATCTCCGGGCTTTCTTAATAGTGGTCCTTAACCTGGAAGCCCGAAGAGTCAAAGAAGCCCGTATCAGGCCGAAGGAAACCCTTCTAATGCCCATGAGGAAACCGGCTCCTATCGGAGCTTCATGTGGGGATCGAGGTTTCCGAATGCACGGCAATAAACCCAAAACTCTTTCAATAGCCAGAGGGCAAAGATTACCCATCGCTCTCAAGAGGAACAAAGAGACACGGAAGCCACTGAAACCTAGCTCTTTGCTGGGCACATGGCTCAGAGACGCCTATCGCAACCAACAACTGGCATGTGTGCATAGTTAACCTGTGTGGTCGCCAAAAGCGGTACTGCAGGCGAGGTATACTTTCGAGACCAACGGACCCCGACAGCATAGATGTGGAGGTTGGGGTATTCATCCCGAGCACATGGGAGTTTCTGAAAATTAGGGGTACCTTTTTTTGAGGGGTCCTTGTAATAAGGATCCTACTATCTAGGGTGCCATATTAAGGTCCCCTATTTTCGGAAACGCTCACATCTAGTTTCAGGGCCGTCACCCTTGAAGTCTTGTCGCCGACGCCCCGGTCTTGTGGCGGAGGTTGCGCAGGCGGTGCAGAAAGCTGTGGCCCATGCCACAGGTGGCAAGTTCCGTGGTTCCTTGGGGGTTTATGCTAGGTTGGATTTTGGGACATTTTTTATTTTCCTTATTTGGGTTTATAAGGGACCCTATATATAAATATTTTTCAGGGTGTTTAAAGCCCAACCCAGTATGTCATGTCATTGACCAGTAGCTGACTTTGCAGGCTGGTTTGGATTCTTGCGAGGATCAACACCCTTCCGACCGCCAAGATGTCGTTTTGCACTTGTGGTTTTTAGTACGTCCACCAGCTGTAAGTACCTGCAGCGGGCGGAGGAATATGGAGGATAGTTTGAGGCTTCGTGTGGATGCATGCATCCACCCTCTGGTCCTCGAAACCTGAATCCAACACCCCCCGACACCCCTGAACCTCAGAGGCCAGGGAGTCAGGCGCGCCTCAAGGGTGCCTAGACCGTCCACCTGCCCTCTATCAGACTTTTTAATAGCCAGTATATAGGGACCATATACCCCTGTTTCAGGTTCCAAGACGGGTCCGAGTATCCGGTATTTCTTGAAGTCTTGAAGCATCAACGATACTTAAAGGCCCAGGGGACTTAGTAAGTAGGTTATAAGTAGGGTTATAATTGGTGTAATTCAGTTTAAGGTACTTATAACCCTATTTATAACCTACTTACTAAGTCCCCTGGGCCTCCAAGTAGACCCTGATCTTGCCGCCTCCAATGCCTAGGCTCAAATCCCCACGAACCGAAGATGTGGTCGCAATAGTATATCCCATCGTACCCCTAGGGGTATAAGCGTATATGTATATGTATGGTTCAACAAGACCCTACGAGGCACTTTTACTTTTCAGGGGCATGAGTAAGGCCTCTGTCTGTGTTAGGTCTGCCAAGTCCTCAGTTTTTCTCAACCCTGAAACCGGAGAACCTCCCTAAATCTCCAAAGCCTACCTGCACAACCCAACGCCCGTGCAACCATTAAGGAATAGAGCTCAAACTATAGAAGGATCCGAATGATGAGTTTGGGGTCGATTGATTTTTCAATGAGAGAGAGAGAGAGAGAGAGAGAGAGAGAGAGAGAGAGAGAGAGAGAGAGAGAGAGTGAGCGAGATAGAGAGAGAGAGAGAGAGAGAGAGAGAGACAGACAGAGAGAGAGACGCTTGAGTTGGCGAAGACGCTGCAGTTGACACGTCAACGAGGGAGCACAGCTTTCTCGACTTCTCGGAGGCTTTGCAGTACCACATAGAGAACCTCCCCGCAGATTCGCTTGCATCCCGCTCCAAGAAAGCCGAACATAGGCTTCGGAGGTTACGATTGGTGCACCCAAGCCTTCCACCCGCGGGACTTCGCACGACCAAGCTCGGGAGGCGATGACCCAGATGGTGAACTACGGTTGATGATGTAAATCCTGCACTACCTTAAAGACCCTAAACTATGGGAATTATGGTATATCAGCATATCCCTTATTATGGGTGATGTTATGACATTAAACCCCTAAGCTACGGGAATTGTGGCAATTATATCCCTGATTATGGGTAATGCAGGGTTTAATTTCATCTACCGCAGGACGAGGCTGAGGGGTCCGCTTGGAGGTTCATGGGTAGCAATAAGTCGGGCTAAGTAGAAATCATTTTTTCAATTTTTGGTCATTATAATCCCTAAGAAACAGCTGAAACTATAATTTTTTGCTAGGGTTCTAAGTTCAGTATAGAAGTGGGGCTACAAGTACCCTAATGTGGATCAGAAGTATAGTTACCCTACTTAGAACCCCACTTATAACTACCCATGAACCTCCAAGCGGAGGAAGAGATGGAGGACCGACACCCGGAGAAGGATTGTCTTATTAGAATACGGCTTCGGGCCCATTATACTATACTTTTAATAAGGATCCCTCAAAATAGTATAGGTAATTATTTAAGCCCCTATATTACGAGATGAGCTTCCTCGTAACTCCCCGAGTTGACTTGAGCAGCGGCTTATTCACGTGGTAGACAGCAGCCTAGTCTGGGTTCAGGGTTGAGGCTTTGATATTTTTCGTTATTCTCATAGGGTTTTAACTTATGTTTATTGTTAGTGTTGCTATTATTGGTATTATTATTATCGTTATAAATTATTATTGCTATGATTATTGTGATTATTAACTCGGGTCAGTAAATCAGGTCACCCAGCAGTAGCCTTCTAGATTCTACCCCTCTGTCTTGTCCCTGGAATTCTGAAGGCATCATTCGGTAAGTCGCCCTAGTCACCGAAACAGTTTGGAGGGTGTAGAACCCTTATGTCCACACAAAATCGGCCGACTATTGGTTCAGAAGCCAGGAAAATCCCTTAAACCCTAGCCCTAACATAGCCTGAGCCCGGAACCGAAGAACCACCATGATTCGGCTCTGGAAGGGTCCATGCCAAAGAGCGTGGCTGAGGTGGGATTTGGAGCTTTTCAGCAGGGGTTTTGTTTGTATCTAATATCGAGGCTTTTTAAAGGATCCTGGTAAAGGGGATTTTATAAGAGGCTACTCAGGATTACTTTTCATTTTCCGGGTGTGTTGAATAGAGGTTCTTAATTATGAGGATAAGGTCTGGGATATCTCATATTGCATACATGCATGCATACATACATACATCCATACATCCTTCCATGCATGCATACATATATGCATAGGGACTGGAATACTGCGAGGCTTATCTTGTTCGTTGCTTCATCAGATGCCGATGGGATTTAGGGCTTTCTCGATGGTTCAGAGTTAAGCCGCGGCAGTGGTAGCTGCAGTGAAGCATTAAAATTGTAATGTGGTTGGCCCTGCACAATCACTGTTGGCATTCCCTCAGAATCCCTCCATATACCAATTAGTCATGTCTGAATTTCCCGACATTGCAGCATGCGGGCTGAGTTCGGGGTGCATTGAAATGAACAACAACCGCAACAACAACAGCAGCAACAGCAGCAACAGCAACAGCAACAGCGACAACAACAACAACAGCAATGCGAACTTCCAGAGAAGGGACTACTTGCTACCCCTCCTCTTGCTGCTACTGCTACTGCTATAGCTACTGCTACTGCTGATGCTACTGCTACTGCTAATGCTAATCCTAATGCTAGTGCTGCTGCTACTGCTACTGCTACTGCTACTGCTACTGCTGCTGCTACTGCTGCTGCTACTGCTACTGCTACTGCTACTGCTAGCTCTACCGCTACCCCTACCCCTACCGCTACCTCTGCTGCTGCTGCTGCTGTTGCTGCTGCTGCGGCTACCGCTACTGCTACCGCAACGCTACTGCTACTGCTAGTGCTACTTCTTCTGCTCCTGCTCCTGCTCCTGCTCCTGCCACTGCTGCTGCTGCTGCTGCTGCTATTGCTGCCTCTACTGCTCCTGCTACTGCCACTGCTGCTACCACTACTACTACTTCCTTCTACTACTGCTACTGTCAGTGGTCGTTCTGATGCTTCGAAGCTGTTTTGGCACAAGCCCAGAATGAGGCAATGATGACGTACGAGGCTGCACCCCAAACAAGGGCGGCGGGGTTCAAGGGTTCAGTCTTTAGGAAACCCTGTTCACATCGGTAGTCTTGCATCCCAAAACCCTAAGCCATGGATGTGCCGTGGGCCTTCTTAACATGGTGACCTGTGCAGTTGCATTACGGGTACAGCGGGGCTGTATCGTGATCCCTATATAAGCTCCTTCGATGTATTGCTACAGCAAGTCGCATGTCTTGATAGAAAGTTGATCTCTAGACCTCTGACGAACGCTTGGTGGCGCAACGGAAGTCGGTGCTTTTGGCACAGCCCATCCACGGCAGAGATGTCACAGGAGCTTTTCAACTAGAAGGATCAGGGAGCTTAGTTAGCAGGGTAGTAAAGGAAAAGGATGGAAAAAGGTACAATTAGTTCGTATAGTTGTGTATCTGCTAAACCCCAAAGCACCCCTACCCCAAAATCCTGAATCCTGTGGTCCTCTTCAGTCTGCTGATCCGCCAAGCAAGACAAAAAGTAGGGTTTAGGGTTTAGGGTTTAGGGTAGGCCCAGCCGACGAGCTAAAAGGTGTGATCCTCGAGCCAGGCCTCATACCCAAAGGCCCTAAAGTAAAAGCCAGAAAGTTGGAATATGATTATCCTAAACCCTTTATGGTAAATTGTAAGGTATCCTACCCTGAAACCATATTCCAACTTTCTGGAGTTCCCTTTAAAACTGGGAATCCGGAGTTTTAAGTGCCTTATCCCTCGAAAGAATTCCTGAAACCTAAACCGTACACATACACCGTAAACCAGTTCTTTGGGAACGCCGGGATTTGTCATCCGTGGATTCTTCAGTAGGAAGGGCATGTCCTGTGAAAGTTACGGCTTGCTTTGAAGGGTTAAGGTAAAAGCCAGAAAGTTGGAATATGATTATCCTTACCCTTCTATGGTAAATTGTAGGGTATCCTACCCTGAAACCATATTCCAACTTTCTGGAGTTCCCTTTAAGGCTTTCGTGCTTCGGGGCTTTACGGCTTCGTTCAACTTTTCCCTGCTTTCAAGATTGGAGCCGCTGTCCTTAAACACTCGCCCTCACTTGAAGGCTCATGCGACTTAGTAAGTAAGGTTATAAGTAGGTTATAATTAGGATAACTCCACTTAGGAGACTTATAACCCCAGTTATAACCTACTTACTAAGTCCCATGATCCTCTAAGTAGCAGGAACTAACAAGTACCCGAAGCCCACCATCGCCGGCATCTTTTCCGACATTTTTATCAGGACCCAGAAACCGTAAATAGTAAAGGCTTACACTTTTTTCTGGTATTCCTGCGCAGAGATCCGCAACATCTAAAACCCTGAATCAGACCTCAAAGCCGTAGACCCCTACCGATATTGCTCCCAGATCCCTCCAAGACCCTCAACCCTAAACCCCACCTTTAAGTTACGACAGGCATTTCGGACGTCCCTTGGGCAGACGGAAAAGAGGTTTCAAAAAAAAAAAAACCTTTAAAACGACACCCTAGCCCAGAAGGCTAGGATGCCCAGTAGTACCCTTATTCCCTTTTTGTAGTCCTAGGTTCCTTATAAAGTTACCCAACACCAAAACGAGAGGCCTTTTTATTCTTAGGTTACTGGGTATCCTAGAAGGAGCTATGGCCGGCAGAACTTGCTGGCCCGAAGTTTGCTTCGTTTTTGGTGGCTCGGATGCACTTTTGGAGCTTGGGTGCCTCTGGCAGAAGGAGCACTACTTAGAGGATCATGGGACTTAGGGTTCCTTAAAGGGCTCCTTAAAGGGTTTAGGGTTTAGGGATCTATCATATAAGGGTTCTAGAAGGGGTAGTTTAGGATACTTAGAGGATCATGGGACTTAGTAAGTAGGTTATAATTGGGCTTATGAGTCCCTTAACTACTTATAACCTTACTTACTAAGTCCCATGAGCCTTCAAGTACTGTTGATGATACAAATCCTGCATTACCCTAAGGACCCTAAACCATGGGAATTATGGGAATTATGGTAAATTCCTTACTATGGGTCATGCAGGGTTTATATCATCAACCGTAGTCTAATCACTAAGGCCCGGCCTGTAAGAAGCCCTCAACACCGACTCGCGAGAGTCTTATGAAGAGCTAGAGCACCATATGCAAGCCGCACCAAGACCGAGTCCCAAACCCCTTTATGCATAAACCCTAAACCCGCATGAACCCTGCACAGACGAAACAGCAACGCAGGGGATTTCATATTTAGAATAGGGTTTCGTTTTGGGGGCTCCTTGTTATAGTTATAGTAAACTATACCCCCAAACCCTGTTGTAATTATTATATAAGGCCCCTGCATACGGGGGCTTCAATAATTACCAATACTCTATATTTTGGGGTCTAAGCTTTCTTCATCAACTTTGGGCGTTTCTGTCAACCAGGATTCTTGCGTTTCCTTCAATTAGGGTTTACGGTTTAGGTTTTAGGGTTCAGGGTTTATGGTTTACTAGGATTTAGGGTTAAGGGTTTAGGTCTTAGGGTTGAGGGTTTAAGTTTCAGGGTTGAGTTCATCTGCTGGGTACAGTTGACAGAATCCGCGGGTGACGTTCGAAGGAATCTTGGGGGTAAAGTTGATAGAATCTGTTTGTGAGCTATGTTTTGGGGGTTCCTCATTATGTTTATAAAGTATAATGGACGGGCACGCTGCGCAGCCAGCTCAAAGGGGCGACTCCTACTATAGGGGCCTGAATAGTTTGAATAGGGGTTCCTTCAAAGGGATCCTTAAAGGGGTCATAGGGGATCTATACTGGTTCTATAGTATAGGGGTTTGGGGCCCAATTATACTATAGGTAAAATAAGGAACCCCAAAATAGTGTCGGCAATTATTAAAAAAATTAGGCCGCTATAGTATGCAACGCACCAGAAGAACTTTTCACCGTGAACCTGGAGCTCCGAATCGAAAGGCCCACCCTTCTGGGTCCGTTCAAGGCCTTCAAGCCGAAATTATGATTTATGAACCCCGGGTAAAACCTGTGTACCATCCTGGATGAAACTCTTATAGAACCGAATCAGAGAACTTGTCCGACATTTCACTATTGCCTTTCGTCATGCAGCACCGTGTGCTTGTATCCAGCTGTGAACCCCTCACCATAGGGGTAGTTGGCTTCATTTTTGGCGGGGTGGCCAGCTAAACCCTAAACCCTAAACCCTATAAACCCTAAACCCTAAACCCTAAACCAAGCTTTATTTTTTAAGGTCAAGGGCTTCCTGGACTGCCCAGTTCTTCTTGCTCCTAACAGTCCTAACATAAGAACACTGTGGACTGAATGTTTGCCCATCCAACCTCAACCCTAAAGCCTAAAACCCTAAGCCGTAACACCCTGACCCTAACATCCTGAACTCAGAAAACGTTTGTAAGACCTTGAATGTGTCCCAACAATGGATCCCCTAAACCTCATACCACTACATGGGTTACGTTGCACTCGGGCCTTGTAACTCAATATATGCATCCTTGCTCCGTCGAGGTGTTGGGGATTGAATTCCTAATGCCGCTCCATATTATATTGAGGCTTTCTTGAACCCCATGTCAACCCCGCAAAATCCAGAAAAAGCGAAACAACTTTATAAAGCCAATAGAAATCTAAAACCTTCTAAAAACCGTCCAAGACCTCAAGCAAAGGAGTCGACGCTTGACCAACTTCTCTGCAAGCACCGGGAACTTCTGGTAACACAATTTCGAGAGGTGGCTCGCATTAGGACGACTATTCCTATTTGAAACCCTAAACCCTAAACCGGTTTAGGGTTATGATGTTGTTACTTTCCTGTTTTTTGTTCGTGTTCTTCTGATTACGAATGTTTCTATTATTATTGTTATTACTCTGGTATTTACTATTACTAGCGGAGCTTGCGGGTCCAATGCAGGGCCATAAGGAGTAGAGTTAGAACAAAGGATTACAGCGAGGGACCTATGACTCTATGAGGGTTCCTTGAAGC